TTAGAGGGAAGGTTCTTAGTTTCTCCCCATTGAGGATAATGCTTGCTATGGGCTTGTGGTAGATGGCTTTGACTATATTGAGAAAAGTTCCTTCAGTACCCATTTTTATGAGAGTTTTCATCATAAACAGGTACTGGGTCTTGTCAAATGCTTTCTCTGCATCTATTGATATGATCATATGGTTTTTATCTTTTCTTTTATTGATATGTGGATTATGTTGAATGACTTCCGAATGTTAAACCATTCTTGCATCCCCAGGATGGATCCTACTTGGTCATGGTGTATGATCTTTTTGATAAGTTGTTGGATTCTATTTGCTAATATTTTGTTGAGGATCTTCGCATCCATATTCATCAGCCTGTAATTTTCTCTTTTTTTGCTGGGAAACGAACCCAGGTTGGCCGCGTACAAGGTAGTTGCCCTACTCGCTGTGCTGTCACTGTTAGGTTGGAACAATAGCACAGTGGGGAGGGTGTTTGCCTTGCACACAGCCAGCCCCAGTGCGATTCCTCTGTCCTCTCTGAGAGGGCAAGCTAGAGAGAGTATTCCGCCTGCATGGCAGAGCCTGGCTAGCTCCCCGGGGTGTATTCAATATGCCAAAAATAGTAACAACAAGTCTCACAATGGAGACGTTACTGGTGCCTGCTTGAGCAAATTGATAAACAACGGGAGGACAGTGCTACAGTGCTAATTTCCCCTTTGCTTTTAAAAGAAAAAATTCCCCCATATTTATTGTGGGTATTTGATGTAACTCCTTGTTTTTGTGTTCACACACATGCCTCTGGATTTCATGGAATTTTTTGTTTTGTTTTGATTTTTTAATTTTCAGAATTGTCTCTGTTGAGCTTCTTGCAATTCATGGATGACAGTAAAGGTGCTGGTGTCTGAGAATTTTTTGCAGGTGACTCTTTTCAGTTAAGGCACAACTGCTTTTATTGTGTTATCTTTCTAATCTTCTGGTTGAGTAAAGTGTAGGCACTGCTTCCTAACTTGGTATACTGATTAGATCCACTAGAGAATAATAAGCCTGTCTTCTGCCTAAAGATGGCATTCTTGGTATTGTGTGGGAGAGTTAAACAGGAAAATGCAGAAAAGCCATTCCATAAGATTTCACTTACTAACAGCCCCCCGCCCCCTTTTTCGATCATTTCTCTATTTTCATTTATTCTGCAGTCCAATGACCCTTTGTTATTTTCTATATAATAAAAAGCTGGATGTGTCAACATCTAATTTGTTTCTGTACCGGGGAATGAACATTCCTTACTAGATAAGGTTGGGGAAAGGATAGGACTGTTTTAACTGCTTCCAAATTGACAGTTTTTGTTATTGTTTTGGGATCAAATGTAGGGTCTCTTATATTCAAGGTATAGCCTGTATCTTTAGCCTGTACTCTGCCACTGAGTTCCTCAGTCTACCAAATGACTTTAAAATAACCCCATTTTGGGTACTTGATCATTGTATAACTGAAACCCAAGCACAAAAATTTGTAAGTCTACAACTGTACCACATGGTGTTTCACTAATAAAAATTAAAAAAAAATAATAATCTCATTTTATTTTTGCCCTCAAGGCCACTTTGAAAGACATTTACTCAGCCTTTTGGAATTCTGTGATGTGAATTGATTTATAGACTTACCTTCTACTGGCAAGGATTCTGTTTCGTTTCTTATATCAAATATCACTTGCCTCAGTTTTTTAGCTCCCAGATGTTTTTGAATGTTGACTTTTGTATTCTTTTTGCTCTGGTGAGTTTATATTTTGCTCTTTCTTTTCTTTTTCAAATTAAAATTGTGGTGTCAAAATAATGATTACAAAAAAATTATGAAATCTATTAGTGGATGTGACTCAGTGATTCTACTTCTTGGTGTGTATCCTTAAAGCACAAAAACATTAACAAAAATATTTATGCACACCTATGTTCATTGTAGCACTCAGTACAATAGGCAGGGTATGGAAGTGACCATAAGACCAGCAACAGATGAGTGAATAAATAAGTTCTGATATTTTAATACAATGCAATAATAGCACTGAAGCACTGTCCTCCCGTTGTTCATTGATTTGCTCGAGCGGGCAACAGTAATGTTTCCATTGTGAGAATTGTTACTGTTTTTAGCATATCGAATAAGCCACGGGGAGCTTGCCAGACTCTGCTGTGCAGGCGGGATACTCTCAGTAGCTTTCTGGGCTCTCCAAGAGGGACAGAGGACTCAAACCTGGGCTGACTGCATACAAGACAAATGCCCTACCCACTGTGCTATCGCTCCAGCCCAAAAAAAATTAAAAAAATTTTTTTAATAAAAAAAATAAAATAAATTAATTAATTTTGGCTTTTTGGAACACACCCGGCAATTCTCAGGGTTTATTCCTGGCTCTGCACTCAGGAATAACTCCTGGCATGCTGGGAGTTCCATATGTAATGCTGGGGATCAAATCTGGTCAGCCGCATGCAAGGCAAACACCTTACCTACCCGCTCTATTATTTCTCTGGCCCTTTTCTTTTCTTTTCTTTTCTTTTCTTTTCTTTTCTTTTCTTTTCTTTTCTTTCTTTTCTTTTTAAATTGTTAGTGATGTGCAGCTGGTAATACAGAGGGGGTTGTGGGGGGGGGACTGAACCAAGAGTGGCCTGTCTGGGTCCTCCACATGAGCCGCATCCCCAACCCTGACCTGATCCTCGTGCTCATCAGTGACTTACTTCTATGCCAATGCCCGTCCCTTCCTTCCCCCCCCATGCGACCCCCTTCTCCCCAGCTCTCTTTGCCCCTCCCACCACCACCCTGCCATCCACCCCTGGTGGGTCTGGAAGTAGGAGCTAGTCCCTGCACCCGCCGTGCCGCCATCCTCACTGGTACAATGAAATAATATGCATAATAATCAAATAATCAGAATGTGAAGCCATGGGTTCAGAGAAGCCATGGGTACAGTTGGCAGGCCACTTGCCTTGCAAGTAATTCCAACCCTAGTTCAATCCTCTGCACCCCATATGGTCCCCTGGAGGGATCATACCTCTAGGAGTGATCTTAGCACAGTGCCAAGTGGCACCACTGATTCAGACCCAAACATAGAGTCATGCAGTTCGCTGCACCATGGATGGAACTGGAAGGCGTTCTGTTAAGTGAAGTAAGTCAAAGAGAAGGACAAACCCCTGATGATCCCACCTATGTGTAGAAACAAAATAAGGAAGTAGTATTTAACAGTGACAAACCCTTTGCATTAGAAAACAGATTGTAAGGTGGACTAGAAATAATTCAAGGACATTGGTGGGGACCACTTTGGTGGTTGCGTTGCAGTAACTTTATATCATTATCACAAACAGTGCTTTAATCATGTTATCTAAACTATATAAAATTTAAAAATATACTCTATAGGTGGGGCTGGAGCGATAGCACAGCGGTAGGGCATTTGCCTTGCATGCGGCCGACTTGGCTGACCCAGGTTCAATTCCTCCACCCCTCTCGGAGAGCCCGGCAGCTACCAAGAGTATCTCGCCCACACGGCAAAGCCTGGCAAGCTCCCCATGACGTATTCGATATGGCAAACACAGTAACAAGTATCACAGTGAAGATGTTATTGGGCCCGCTCAAGCAAATCCATGAACAACGAGAGGACGGGAGAACTCTATTGGTGGGTGGATCTTTTTGTCCTAGGACAATCTTGCTATTAGGATAACTGATCAAAGTTTTAAAGTTTCTTGAACGAATTTCCATCTGGTAGATTATGCTATCAAGGCAATTTTTGCCTCAAAATAGACTCCTTCCTTGATTCATTTGTCTTTGTTTTCTTACCCAGATATTTTTTTATGCTGCTTACATTCTCTGACAGCATCACCTTCTTTCATTAGTGGAATGTGTGCTACATCAGAGTTAGGGATATAGTGTTTGCCAAAATAAATGCATTCTCTGTTCAGATTTAGGGCCATTCAAAGACATTTGTGATTTTTTTTTATAAGTTAGCAGGAGGATGATTACTCTGTGTGTGTGTGTGTGTGTGTGTGTGTGTGTGTGTGTGTGTGTGTGTGTGTGAGAGAGAGAGAATAGGGATTGAATACAGAACCTTACACAGGCCGAGCAATGCTGTACCGTTGAGTTATATTCCCTGACCACAATAATTTTTCTTTTTTTCTTTTTTTAAAATTTTGGCACCCAGAGATGCTCGGGAATCATTTCTGGCAGTGCCCAGGGAACCTTAAGGTATGGCGGGGATCAAACCATATCAGCTGTGCAAGGCTAGTACCTTACCCACTAAACTATCTCTCCACCCCCCACCCCCATGATTTTAAAATAAAATAATATTATTTCATCAAACTGCTATTTTGCAGCTACACATATCTAACTTTTATAGTCATTTAATCTCATAAGGTAAAGTCAGATAGTGGATATAAGTACAAAAGCAGGGCACATCATTTTGAGCCATGCTATGATCAATGAGGAGGATAAAAGAAAATGGCCTGTGGTTCGTGCTGCTGTGTCTCAGAGCCCACAGCTCCCGTCATATCTCGTTGAGAGCCTCCACAGGGTCCAGGAGAAGCCTGTGTGTGAGGATGGGAGTAACCAAACAGTGGATGGACCTCAACTTTATTATACAGTCATTTTGTTATAATGTAGAATATGTGTTTTTTTTTCTTAAAATGACTTACCGGACATGTCATTTACTAAAAATGAAGGGTATATGGAAAAATTGTGATTAATGCATACCACCCTTTGGAAGTGGCACATTAAAAAGGAAACATGATAAGATTTTTGTTTGTGGTGAAGAACTATTGTGAAATAAAGTAAATAAGACCCCTTTACCTTGAAAAGGGTCTGAAGTTTGCTTGAAGAAATTGCAGCATGTGAATCTAACTAAGTCCATTGTTCTGTACACACCATGATAAAATCACAGCTTCAACATGGTAAATTTACATTGTGTCTAAATTGTTTTCAATCACTTATATGGAAACAAATTCCATTTTTTCTGAGCAGGTGGTCTGAAAGAACTGATAATATTCTTTTCTTTTTCCTGTAGATGATTTGCCAATGGGGACTGCTGGCAGACGGGCTTCCAATGAGTTTTTGGTGTATGGAGGGTATGTTTATGATTGAAACATTTTTATGTGTTTTGAATAAGGTTATAGAACATTTACTATATTCTTGATTACAATATTCATTTTGTTGCACAGTTTATCATTTCTTTAAAAACTTTTTTTAATTATAATAAAAATACAAACATCTGTCTTGGTCATTTTGTTTATTTTTGAATTTTATTTTTGATTCTTTAAAATTTGGAGGCCATATCCAGCACATCTCAGGATTCACTTGTAGTTTTGCTCTCAGGGATCACTCCTGGCGGGCACAGGCGGCCATATGGGATGCCAGGGCCTGAGCCCAGATTTGGCCGTGTGCAGTACAAGGCTGTACTATTGGTGCAGCCCCTATCGTTTTGTTTTGTTTCTGGGCTACACCTGGCAGTGCTCAGAGCTTGTTCTTGGCTCTGAGCTCAAGGGATCGAACATTGGTAGGATGCACACAGGACAAGTTCCCTACCCATTGTATTATCACTCCAGCCCCTGTCTTGGTTATTTTAAAGTCACAATTTATTTACAGTATTGGACATACAGTGTTCTATGGTAAGTGGTCAGTGATTCTATGGTAAGGTAAAGGTAAAGGCCCTCCCATTGATCGTCGATTTGCTCGAGCGGGCCCAGTAACGTCTCCATTGGAGACTTTGTTGTTACTGTGTCTGGCATATCGAATACTCTCGGTAGCTCGCCGGGCTCTCCGAGAGGGGTGGAGGAATCGAACTCGGGTCGGCCATGTTGGCTGCGTGTGTAAGGCAAACGCCCTACCCGCTGTACTATCGCTCCAAACCTCCAAGTGGGACTTGACAAATAGTGATGGAGAGTTCTTTTTTCTTCACAATCCTGACAAAATTTGTTTCTGATCTTTGTGATAAAGGCCATTCTCATTGGAATGAGGTGATAGCTTACTGTAGTATTATTGTTTTTTGTTTTTATGGTGCCAGATATAGAAGAGCAACATGCCTGACCTCTTTGTAATTTTGGTATGTGTTTCCCTGATAATAAGCGATGACATGTGTTCATTTACCTTTTCTGCCCATTATAAAGATTGTTTTTTTGGTGGTGGTGGTTGACTCTTATGAGTTCTTTATAAAATTTTGATATTAACCACTTATCAAACGTTTAATGTGCAAATATTTCCTCCTCTTTCATAGGATTCCTTACACACCTCCTCCCCAGTCTATAAAGGTAAAGGTAAAGGCCCTCCCGTTGATCGTCGATTTGCTCGAGCGGGCCCAGTAACGTCTCCATTGGAGACTTTTGTTGTTACTGTGTCTGGCATATCGAATACTCTCGGTAGCTTGCCGGGCTCTCCGAGAGGGGCGGAGGAATCGAACTCGGGTCGGCCATGTTGGCCGCGTGTAAGGCGAACGCCCTACCCGCTGTGCTATCGCTCCTGCCCCCAGTCTATACATTTATTTATTTTACACATTTTAATTTTCGGTTTTGGGGCACACCTGGCAATGGTCAAGAATTACTCTTGGTTCTGCACTCAGGAATCATTCCTGGTAGTGCTCAGGGGATCAGGTGGATGCTCAGGGGACCTCCAAGATGGATGCTGGGGATCTCCAGGTTGGCTACTTCCACAGCAGATGCCTTACCTACTCTGCTTTCTCTCCAATCCTGGTTTTGTACCATTTTTATCTCAGTGCTATGATTGACAATAACCTTTTGCGAATATATCATTCTAACGCCCCACCCATCACAGGATGCTTGCTTCCTCCACCAGTGTCCCAAGGCCCCTCCCAAGCACCTTCCCTTCCATAGACAAAATCTCCAATTCTGATGACTTTGGCCATTTGTTTTTCCCTTACTCTGTTTCTTTATATCTGACATATAAGGTAGATTTTTAAAAAAAATATTGTGGAAGTGATGACACCGACACACATATAAATGAGTAAAGCTAAATTGAAATTCAACAAAATTGTAAATAAGTTGATAAATTGTTTTTAAAAACTGCATTTTAAAGTATATTTTCCTTCTTTCCTTTCTTCCTTTCTTTTTTTTTTTCTTTTTGCTGTGGATTGAGGGGTGTGTGTCCTGGCCACACCCAGATGTGCTTGTGGCTTATTCCTGGCTCTCTTTTCAGGAATCACTCCTGGTGGTTCTCCAGGGGACTATATATGATCCCAGGGATCAAACCCAGATTGGCTGTGTACAAGGCAAACACTTTAATCCACTGTGCTGTCTCTCCAGCCGTCTGAGAGTGGACTGTAAACTTATGTTTTGTTTTTGTTTTTAGGTCACCTGGCTGTGCTCAGGGCTTACTTCTGGTTTTGAGCTCAAGATTCATCCCCAGGGGGGACTTGGGGAACCATTTGCAATGCCAGGGATTGAACCTAGGGAATTGAAACCCTGTTGGTTACATGCAAAGCAGTCACCTTACCTGCTATACTTCTCTTCACCCCCTGGGATATTTTTTTTTCCCTTGGTAGTGCAGAAGCTTTATAGAGTGATTATAATCTTAGTATCTTAGTTACTTTTTTTTGCTTTTATCTCGCTGTTGATGTTGAGTCCCTAAAGATATACCTGAAGTGTTAGTATTGTGGAAATGTTTTGCCTGTTATTCTCTCTCTGCATTTTATGGCTTCTGATCTTACATTAAAGTATTTAACATAGTTAAAATTAATTTTTTGTGTGGATAATAATGAGATAGAGGTTTAATTTTGCAAGTAGAAACCCAGTTTTCCAAGCACTAGAAAAGAGTTTGTTTTCTCCACTGTATGCTCTTGGCTACTTTGCTATAAATTAAACGGCCCATATATGTATGGATTGTTTTTGGTTTCTCCCTTCTATTGCTTTTATCTGTATGTCTGTTGTTTTAATACTAGACTGTTTTGTTGTTCCAATACTATACAGTTTTGTACTACACTATAACAATAGGTGGCGTGATACCTCTCATTTTCCCTCTCTCTCCTTTTTTGTTTTTGCTTTTGTGGTCAGAGACTACTCTTGGCTCTGCACTCAGGAATTACTCCTGGCATGCTCAGGTGACCATATGGGACACGGGGGGATCGAAGCTGGGTCAACCATGTGACCTAAGGCAAGCGTCTTACCCACTGTATTGTCTCTTAGCTTCCCCTCTCATTTTCTTTTTTGCTCAGGAGCGAAAGCACAGTGGGTAGGGCATTTGTCTTGTACGCTACCAACCCGGGTTCAATTCCTCCGCCCCTCTCAGAGAGCCCGATAAGCTACCAAGAGGATCTTGCCCACACAGCAAAGCCTGGCAAGCTACTCGTGACGTTTCGATATTCCAAAATCAGTAACAATAAGTCTCACAATTTGTTGTGAGATGTTACTGGTGCCTGCTCGAGCAAATCGATGAACAACAGGAGGACAGTGCTACAGTGCTATAAAAATTTCAGTTATGTTTCTTGTATTTCATTGAAGAGTGCCATAGGAATTTTGATAGGTATTAATTGAATCTTTAAATAACTTTGGGAGGTAGATGGTTATTTAAATGATGGGTATTCTTCCTATTCATGAGCACATACTGTCTTTCTCTTCTGTTTTTTTTTTGTTACTGTTGTTGCTTTGTACAATTATATGCTACATAAGCTGTGTATATTGTGTATTCTTTTTGTTTGATTATTTTGGGTGGGGAACTACACACAACTGTGCTTAAGGTTTACTCCTGGCTCTGCACTTAGGGATCACTCCTGGTGGGGCTGGGGGCCCATTTGTGATGCTGAGATTGAACCAGGTTGACTTTGAGCAGAGCAAGCATATTACCCACAATACTCCTTGTTCTATGTGTTACTAACTTATTGTTTTGTCCTAGGTACTTAATTCTTTTTGAGAAAATTGTAAATAAAGTAGTTTTTTTAATTTCTTTTGCCTTTCATTTTATTTTATATAGAAATGCAACAGATTTTTATTTTAGGCACCATGATTTATAATACTGCAATTTATAGGGTTTCATGCGTTCAGTGTTCCAACATCAAGTCCTCCATGGTAAACTCAGTTCTGTAAACCAGTTCTCAGACTCTGCCTTTGGTCATTTGTTATTCCCTTACTTTGTTTCTTTACAGACCACATATAAGAGAGGTCATTTTGTAATTGTCCCTTTCCTTCTGACTTGACTCAACATAATACTCGCCAGATTCATCCTAGCAAATTGCACAATTCCTTTTTTTTTTTCTTATAGTCAAGTAGTATTCCATTCCAGAGTCTCTTTATTCAGTCATCTGTCTTGGACACTTGAGTTGTTCTCACATTTTGGCTATTGGGAGTAGAGCTACTGTGAACATAGGCACACAGATGTCTTTTTTGGAATAGTGGTTTTGCGTCCTTGGGGTTAAATGACCAAGAAGTAGAATTGCTGGTTCATGTGGAAGCATAATTCTTAGTTTTTTGAGAAGAGTTCAATTTGTTTTCCAAAAAAGTTGAGCCAGTTGACATCCCCATGAGCAGTGAATGAGGGTCCCTATATCCCCACACCCACACCAATACTGGTGGTATTTGTTCTTTGTCATGAATGCCGGTCTCACTGGAGTGATGTGCTGTGTCATTGTTTTGATTTTTATTTCCTGGTGACCAGTGATGCAGAGTATCTTTGCATATATTGTTGTCTTGGGGGAGGTTTCTGGTCATCTTCCCATTTTTTGGATAGAGTTGATATTGTTCCTGTTTACAAGTTCCGTATGTATCTTGGATATTATCTCTGTCAGGTTAATGGTGAGCAGATACTTTCTTCCAGTCTTTGACAAAGAACTACGGTCGTCGTTTCTTTTGCAGTGTAGAAACTTTTTAGTTTAATGTCAGTCTCATTTATTTTGCTTCTCTTTCCTTGGCCAGTGGCATTGAATCATTGAAGATACATTGAAGATACATCTGGAATACATATCATAAAGGGTTCTGCTTATGTTTTCCTCAGTAGAGCTTATGGGTTCATATCTGATACCAAGGTCTTTAATTCAGTTTGAATTGACTTTTGTGTATGGTGTGAGATAGGGGTCCAAAACTTAAAAATTTGGGGGCGATAATATCGTGAGCAGGGCACTTGCCTG